GAGTATCTGGAAGAGCAAACCAGCCTGGAAAAGATCTCTGGCTCTTCCTCTCCCTGTCACTCTGTCATTCAGTTAAGAAAACAGATTTCACTAACAGGGAAAGGTCATTGAGACAAAGAAAAGCAACGTGATATTCCAGTGTCCCATCTAAACAGAAGGAAGGAAGTTAACAGAATTTTAAAAACTGGAAACTAAGAACTTGAAAGGGAACAAGTGAAACTTGTGATGAGTCATTTGATTGTGAATTGATTCTTCTTAAAATGCCCCGGATCAAGAGCAATGAAAACAGGAATCTCATCTTGAGATTTGTGGCTCTTAATTTAGCTCATAATCTCCCTACTAGCTCTGCTCCAATATTAAACTGTGACCAGTGAAACAGCAAAGTACGACATAAATATTCTTAAGAGCTTTTCTCTTCCCTGAGGACTTTACATAAGCTTGCTGAATGTATTGCACTTTTATGAAAACTTGAAATAAAAAGGCCATCTTCAGACTTGATCATTGAAGTTCTATGGGCAAGTTATGAACGAGAAACTATTTTAGGAGGTCTTCCATCTAGGAGTTAAAGGGTTTTGTGTTCTCCATCAGAGAAAGCAGGATGGATTTGGCATCCAGTTCACCTCCAACTTCCTCCTGAGCTAGGCCGTGGGCTGTAGAAACTGAAGCTGAAGTAATTAAGTTGGTATCCACCATCCAGGAGAGCAAGACTGAGTTCTCGGTTCTGACCTGGCCCTGGGATCTCTCGCACACTCTTTCTTCCTCTCTTCCGTTTAAGTTAAAAAATATGAAACCAATATTCCCTGCTTTTCTTGTTTTCATGAGACTGATTATGGTTATTCAGGAATCTATGCATGTGCTTCTGTGTGCATACAATGATCTGCTTTTAAATTCATAAACAAGCAGAAGTGAAGGGTTTCTAACAGCCTAGAATAGTGGCCCAACATCCACAAAGAAGTATTTGACAATAAGAGATCAGCTTCAAGTTTTCCCTTTAATTTGCAATCTGGTCTCCCGCAGTAGTGTAAGTTCTGACAAGGTCCATGTTGAACCAATTACTGTAATTGCCTGTAATTTAGGAGACCGTCCTATCAGTTTAATCCCAATATTTATTGCAATTCTATTTTTCAACTTGAAAGTGAAGTTAAATGATGTGCAAAAATGAAATGATATCTTGTCTGCCCTAGGGCAAGCTACAGCCTAGCAAGGCTTACAACATAACAAATTAACTTTGATCACCGATGGAAAGTGTGCCAGCAACGTGTAAACTAGACAAGAACTATATAGGAAGCTTATAGAACTCAAGATAGCATGCACACACACATAGACTAAAGCAGCTCAACAACTCCAAGACACTGAAATGATCAAAGCACTTAGACTGGCATGTGTAAAAATCTGTCGCAAGTGCACACATCCTCTAGGATGGTTGTAGAAAAAGCCTTAGAAAATACGTGCTAAAAAAAAACACATGCTGACAAAGCTCATGAGAAATTGGACCCTATACACCGCAACTGGTACAGCATGTGTGAAAATTCATTTGGCACTTGCTCAAAATGTTAAGTACACCAAAACCATAAGACCAAGCAATTCTACACTTAGACATACAGTCGAGAATATTGGAACATATGTTTATGCAAACAGGTGTGCACTCAGATGCTCACAGTAACATAATTCTTAAAATATTTGTTTATTTGGTGGGACCTGCGGGGTGACTGAACAAGCCAATTCTCCTCTCGTCAGTGCCAGCATCCCGGGTGGGTGCTGTGTGTAGTCCTGGTTGCTTCTCTTCCCATCCAGCTACCTGTCTATGGCCTGGGAAAACATACAAGGCATGGTCCAAAGGCATGGACAGCCCAGAAGGAGCTCCTGGCTCCTGGATTCAGCTCTGATCAGCTGCAACCACTGGGGCCATTTGGGGAATGAATCAAAAGACGGAAGATCTCAGTCTCTCTCTGTCTCTCTTTCTCTCTTTAAATCTACCTTTCAAATAAGTTTTTTTTTAATTTGAAAGAGTTACAGAGGGAAAGAGAGAGAAAGAGAGGAGGGGGCGGGGAGAGAGATCTTCCCTGCTTCACAGAAGCTGGGGTTGCACTGGATCAGAGCCAGGCTCTAGGAGCCCCGTTGTGGGCGATCATGCGAATGGGTGCCAGGCAGCTGGGCGATCCTCTGCTGCTTTATCTGGCACCACAGCAGGGAGCTGGAAGGGAAGCAAAGCAGCTATTTCTAAGCAGCACCTATGTGGAATGCTGGCATTGGATCCCAATTTGTCACAGTGCTAGAACGTTAGAGCAACAAGGACAGTTAACATCTGAAAACAATATATATGTAGAGAGAGGTTAGTGAAAGAAATAGTTCATTCTACAGTGGAATACAATGCTGCTAAGAAAAGGAAGAGGTACTGCTCTGTGCACAATGTGGAGGTGGTCCAAGCATGACGTGGAGTGCCCTTGAAAGCTGTGTATGAATTCAAAGAAGCCAGTCATAGCGGCCACATCCTATGATTGGATTTACATGAACAACATAGGTCTGACAAACAGTAGACCCAGCAAACTGATCAGGGCACACCAGAGCTGTCAGGGGCAGTGGAAGGAGTGTGGGGGAAAAAGATCCCCAGCAGTACCCTCAGTGGCTACCTGTTACAGATACACTGCAAGCACGGACTTACATAGTTGAAAGGAGTGAATTTTATTATCTGAATTTTCTCTCACAATTAATTTTATGTAAAAAATACTATCCCAGCACAAATATACACATACATCAATGCACAGATTTTATAACTTAAAGTAAGGCAAAAGTACATCTGAGAGAGTTCAGGACACAAACTACAGGCATGGCGAGCTTTTTGTGGTTCTCCCATGCGGGTGCAGGGTCCCAAAGCTTTCAGCCATCCTCAGCTGGTTTCCCAGGCCAAAGTCAGGGAGCTGGATGGCAAGTGGGGCAACTGGGATAAAAAGCAGCACCCATATGGGATCCCGGCGTGTTCAAGGTTAGAACTTTAACTTTAACGGGTCCAATACATATATTTTTTTAAAGATTTATTTTGTGTTTATTGGAAAGTCAGATTTACAGAGAAGTGGAAAGACATAAAGATCTTCCGTCCAATGATTCACTGCCCAAGTGGCCACAATGGCCAGACCTGCACTGATGTGAAGCTAGGAGCCAGGAGCTCTTCAGTTCTCCCACGTGGATGCAGGGTCCCAAAGCTTTGGCTGTCCTTGACTGCTTCCCCAGGCCACAAGCAGGGAGCTGGATGGGAAGTGGGGCAGCTGGAATTAGGGCAGGCACCCATATGGGGTCCCAGTGCAAGCAAGGCAAAGACTTTAGCTGCTAAGCTACCACGCTGAGCCATCAATGGCTATTTAAGAGTTAACTTTTTGGGCAGGGCACAGTAGCATAGTGGCTAAAGTCCTCAATTTGCATGCACCAGGATTGCATATGGACGCCAGCACATATTCCAGCTGCTTCACTTCCTTTCCAGCCCCCTGCCTGTGACTTGGAAAGCAGCAAAGGATGGCCCTAGTCTTTGAGACTCTGTACTCACGTGGAAAACCCAGAAGAAATTCCTGGCTCCTGGCTTCAGGTCAGTTCAGTTCCAGCTGTTGCAGCCACTTGGGGAGTGAACCAGCAGATCAATGATATTACTCTGGAAGATCTTCCTCCCTGTCTCTCCTCCTCTCTGTAAATCTGACTGTCCAATAAAAATACAGAAACCTTTAAAAGCGATAAGCTAATTTTTCAACAGAATGTTACAAAAGGCAACATTACAATTAGGTGTTAGAACTTGTATTTCTATTCTGATAGTATAGATGGCACAGATACTGGTAGTTCAATAGTTGTGGGCGTTTGGTTCAGTGTCCACCCACTTGACTGAATGTTTAGACGATTCATCTATGTTTGATGGCTCTCGTTTTAATCTAATTCAAACCTCTTGCTCTTTTGAGGTTGTTTAACAAAAAATACATGTCGTAGATTATAAAATTTAAATTCTCAAAATATTAATGTTTCATTTCACAGATTTTCATGTCACCAGATAATCTGATGAGACCTAAAATTAGAGTGCTTTTGAAAAAAAATTATTTTACAGAACTGGAGGAAGCACTCAAGACTTGGTTTCTTACTTAAAATGGTGTTTGGTGCTGAGTTACACATAGCTGGTCTGTTCTTTCAGAAATAACTCCAAGGTTTTGTCATCTAGAGCTCATCCCTGAATGAGTTTGCCATCGATGTTTGGTTGCATAATTTTTCTAAGTTATATGTTGGTATAATTAATAGTCCATGAATTTTTTATGCAAAATGCATTGCATATTGTAAAGTCCAGCAAAGAATGCCTATGTTCTGTTTTTGTTAAGTGAGTTGATTTGATTTAACTCATTTCGATGTTTTATGTAAATAATAGAGGAAAACATAAAAAGCTATTTATTTGCTTATTAATTCATAGCCTAGGTAAAAGCCCATTTTGCAAAATACACTTGGGAAAATATACCATTTTTTTTCTATTCCTTCCATTTCTTTGTGATTTTTTAGGTTAAATTGCTTTTCATAAGCAAGAAAAGACATTTCATTTTTTAAAAAATGTATTTATTTTCATTTGAATAGCAGATTTTTTTGTTTTTTAGCAGAGAGAGGAGAGAGATCTTCCAATCAGTGGTTCATTTCCCAAAGGCTACAACAGCCAGTGCTAAAGTTGCGAGCCAGGAACTTCTTCCCAGTATCCCACATAGGTGCAACCCTCTGCTGCTTTCTCAGATCATGAACAGAGAGCTGCATTGGATGCGGAGCAGCCGGGACACGAACTGGCATCCAAGCATGATGTTGGTGCTTGCAGGCAGAGAATTAGCGTGGATGCCATCATGCCGGCCCCAACAAAAGGAATCTTCTATGATTTTAAAATTTAGTTTCCATTGGTAATTATCTACATTTTAGAAGGCATTTGTCTCTGGACTGGGCTATACAAGCATAGTAGGCATATGTAAAACAGTTGTATATTTTTCTGTTTCTTACAGATTCTACAAAGAAATTAAAAGATGTTCTGGAAGAATTCCATGGTAATGGTGTGCTTGCAAAGTATAATCCTGAAGGGGTAAAAATTCTTATTTCTTTACATCAGTTTTGTTCATGTGCTTGGTGGGGGGGTATCTTTTAGTGGGGAGGTTGGAAATATGTATATATATGCCTATACATATTTATATATGTATGCAGATGTTTCTACATGCAAGTTGCATATACATATATATATTTCATTTGTCTCATATCAAGAAAAACTAATAATGAAATGCAATTTGCAACCTACTTTTCATTCAGATCATTTCACTAATGAAAATAACACTTCCTTAGTATGTGCTCGAAAGAGTACAGATCATTTAAATACAGTACAAGATGCTGTCCCCAGAAATTAGGAGGCAGGATTAGGTGGAGGGGAGATGGTGGATGCCATCCATGCTCCTACTCTGACTTAAACAGGCTTTGGTTGGGTGCAATGGGGTTGGTCACTCCATTCAAAGAACTTTTCCCTAGACCATGGGAATCCATTGCGAAGGATGTCCCCGATTGTCAACTTAAGGACCCATCATGGATGAAAAGTGGCATTTTTTTCTCTTCTCTGTGTTCAGCCAATTACCTGCAGATGTTCTGGACCCAAAAAAATCATCTCACATAAGACCAGTGCATGCTCTGTCAATTACTTCTGTACGCCGTGCTTGGACGAATGGCATTTCCTTTCTAACCGTTCACACCGCCCTCTGTCCAATACCGGCTGAGAGATGCTGCTTGTTGAAGTTTGCCCTTCCTTACTGTTAGTTCATTTGAAGCTTCTGTGAGTGACACTGGCTGCACTGGAGCACAAACAGATCTTCTCTGGTTGAATGCTCTACGCAGATCTGTTTGTTGAGTAGATGTGTCATTGTTATCATTGTCATTTTGTTTTTGCATGTTTACAGGGGAACAGTTATTGATTACCTATGAATATTTTATTTTCTGGAATATATAGAACCTTCGTTTTAGTTGTCATAACTCAATCTCTAAGTTTCAATCTCAGTGCAAGCATATAGTTTGTGATATCCAGTCAATAATTAACATTGTTAACTATTTTTCATATCACATCTTGTATTCTTTCTACATTGTAAAACATACTCCCTAGAACTTTTGAACCTAGGACTTTTTTTTCAAACATGATGCATAGTGCCTATAAATCATTTACATAAATATGTATGTATGCATATATACATATCAAACATGTCTAGCCATCTCTTGTTTGATATTCCAATATGCTGAGAAGTGAAAGAAAAAATACACTGGCAGAAGAACATGCAGAACTGAACACTTCAAGGTGAAAAAGCAGAATGGAAAAAATAAAGATGACAAATGCCCAGAGATGCAATAAGAACAAATATGGAATTCATATTTGCCTTCCCATTGAACACATGTATTGCCTACTTTACACGAAGATCAACCATATTTTTTTCCCTAAAGGTAGCTGCTGGCTGAACATTCAGTTGAACTGTGGCTGTATTTACAAAACAGCCTTTTTCTTCAATAATTTCTAAAAATACCCTCAGATGTAGTTTGGCAAATATCATCTATGTCATGAAGATTATCAAATTAAATGGTGGATTGATTGAGATAACTGCTGGAGATTTACAACGATAACTACTGGATCCATGGATGGCATCAGGCATTTCAGTAATGTCATCTTTCTCACAAATGTTAAGTTTTACTGACAAGATGCATTATTAAAGCGATTAAAAGTTGAATAAAAGATAATCCCATTATTACAAAAGCGCAATTTTAAACTGCAAACCTACTCTCTGAGTTTAGCATTGATGTTTTCCTTCAAAAGAAAAAATGTAAAATTGCTAGCACTCTTTTTAAACATTTAGTATATACTTTTGAAAGCCAATAATAAGTAACTAAACATCCAATGTGGAGAATGAAATATTTAATCATTGGAGGTTGTCTTCAATATACCCCATCTCATTTCTCAAAAACAAAAAACAAAACAAAAAAAAAAAAAAGCAAATACCCAAGAATGTGGGAGATTCCTACTGTCAATTCGCAAATGAAAATATTAATCTCTACAAACCAGTCAAGTTGAAGTGAGAAGCTGCCAATAGATGCTCAATTACACAACAGAAGTTGGAAGTTAGGATTCCTTTGTTTTTAAAGTGAACATAACACGTATCATCCTATGAAATACATTTTTGAAAACAGAATAAACTACATTTCACCTGCTTTGATTTTTTTCTACAGTGTGAAGCTGCCTTAATGGTATATATAATTTTCCTTAAGATGCTCTAGAATTGCTGAATTTAAAATTGTCTTGTAAAATAAAAGAAGATATAGCCCAAACTTATTATAATAAAGTGTAAAATATGTAGTAATCATTCATGTTTAAATTTCTATCTTTGAAAGACCATTTAATGACTGTTCCTAAAAGATTTGAAGAAGAGTCATCTTAAGAACAGCCTTTAAGATTCTATAATAAAAAGAGAAAGTCTTCAGGTTACAAAGATTTTGAATAATGAAACTTGTTTTAAGAAAATTGAAAAGAATTTTCAAAGATTACCCAGCTAATCTTCTGATACCAACCACATTGAACTCTTGCCTCATAACCTTGGTCAAAAGATGGAAACCATTGCTCTGGATGTCAAATGTCCAAGCTCTAGTTCAAGAAGGAAGTCCCAGTAGGTAGAACTATAAAGAGGGAAGTAAAAGCTATTGGGTGTCCTTGTTTAGGTACTAGCTGTGGATATCTCACTATGCATAATTAGAGTAAGTCTCTGCCAAGAACAGTAAGGGACTCCTATTAGTTCCTAGCCAATCTCATGTGAGTAATAAAATGCTAGGAGTAGGATCACAATTCTTCTGTGGCAGAGATTTAATTTTTCTAAGAGATTTACAGTGAAAGAATATAGTCTTGCTTTTATGTAAGTAGTGGAAATTGACATAGGAGAAAAAAAACATTGCATGCAGCTTGAGGAAAGGAGGGTCTTAGATTTCAAACTCCATTCAGAATTGTTACTCTGACATCTGAAAAAAATGGGAAGAAAGTCACAGATTTAGGAATACAGCTAATGTTAAAAACATGAGGGGAGGTTCAAAGTGTTATAAAGAAACATTAAGATTGAGGAGTAAGTATGCATACTCTCATAGCTTATGCGCAGAGTATTTTCATTAATCATTGTTGAAGAATTTTAATCATACTGTATATCATATCCATTGAATTTTCCTCATATCAACCAGACCGATTTCATGATTATGCTCCAATATTGATCTAGTTATTGGATCACCAGCTTTAGCATAAATGAGAACCACCTGGGGTTGCAATGCGCTGCGCTGCCTGCCTTTCCGCCAACTCCGATTTCTAATTCAGTGACCCTGGGAGGGGGCTCAATGACTTTTATTTCTCTCAATTTACCAATTTGTACTGCTGCTGCTGATTTTGGACCTACTTGTGAGGCCCATGGACCAAGGGTATGTTTTAAAATCAATCTGTAAACTTCTAGTTAAATTATCAGAGCTATGAGCTAATGGGTATACGTTATCTTACATTAACACATGTATTCTTTCTTTCCTTGCATGCACAGAAACAAGACATTCTTAACCAAGTAAGACATTTTCTTTTCTATTACAATCTGTCTTTTCTCTCTCTTTTCTGATATGAGCTATAAATTTCTCCTCCATATCACTGCGCTATGTGGCATTGTACCAGTAAGATTCCTATATGCAAGGTTCTCTCTCATACTTGTAAGGTGAAAGTTGAAGTCAAATACAATATTTTAATCAAGTCAGTGTGACAGGTCATGGAGTTGCTGCAATTATGTGAAATCAAATAGGATTCACACTGCAGCTTTTCATTCTGTTGAACCTGTGACCTAATTTCTTAATTTCACCTGGCTGTAAGAACAAAATTTAAGCTAAGTCTTAATTTATTAATTTTAAAGGGTTATTGAAAGTTGCATTTAAGATGCAAGAAGGCATGTTTGCTTTGCTTATTTGTGTGTGTATATAGTCCTATGTTAGAATCTGTGACAGAAACCTAACTGAAAATTTACTGATTTTGCCTTCCTGCCAAGGAAGCATAATGCATCCTGGCTTAGTACATGCCATTCTGTAAGCCACATTTCAGATCTATAGTTCAGTTGAATATATATTATTGCAACATACTTTGGATATTCCAAGTGGATATATCATTTTAGCAGTTACATTAATTGTCTTAATTTCTTATTAAATATATAAGAGTTACCTAAATCCATAAAACTGTCTTTTCATTGTGAAAATTGTTAGGTCACCATATATATGGACTACACGTGTTTGATGATACATGGAAGGCAGCCACTCAGAGTAAACGATTGTTTCTCTGAACACGGGTTTTCAGGCATTCATTATGAAACAGCAATTTTGGAGCACCCTGGTTAAGCAAATGCACCTTTTGGTACAACCCCCAGCTCCACCTGCCTGTCTGAAAACACTGGTAACAGAAACTGATGTTCTTCAAACAGCAGATTAGCACTTGTTTTCATCCCCTTGCACAGGTTATGTGCCATATGCAGGTTTCCCAGTGACAAGCATTCACCACAGAATGAAAGAATGAGCCAAGCTGAGGACAGACCAAGCGGGCTCTAAGATCACACAGGTGCTATTGCTCTATCTGCCTTCTCTAGGAGTGTTTTCCCAGGACAGGATTGTCCATGTACATGTTTCCTATCAGTAGATGCTCATGGGGCTGAGGTTGTGTTCCACTTTCAAAGCTCTCTGAGCATCACTTTTCTTTGTACTTGTTTTATGCAGAGTTGTTTTATATCCTTCATATGAATACAAATAGATTTATTTCACTCCTTACTAAGGCATTTATGTCAGACTAGATTTTGCAGTGCTTCTGCTTAATGCCATATTTTGAAGACTTTTCATGAGGGTATTGACATGCATGATTACTAATAATGATATAATCCCCATGTAGCATAAGTGATAATTATTTTTAGGAATCAGATTCAACCTTTCCCATTCAATACATCATATGGGAAGTATAACTGAAACAAATGTGGTCTTAGGCTCTGAGTGAAATGAATCTTCTCTGTTTATGAAATAATTAGCCATGCTCCTGGCACATCATAGACTTTACAGTAATGGTTAGAGATAGTGATTGTGGTAACATTCCAGGCAGCGAATGCTGCTTCACACGAAGTTTTGGAGCAGGTAAGACAGGTGAATGTGGGAAGCCAGAGAGGCAGCCTCAGTCTTTCTGTAGCCTTCGTTTTCTCCTTTTAAGAGAGGAACAGCTCTTGTTTTCTTTCTGCTGTGTGGTGGGAGCAGGGACATGAGAAGACTTGCTCCCTCTGCACTCCCATTTACAGTCTGGTGGGGGGAAGGGCACGGAGGGGCAAAGCTGTTTTCTGTTGCAGTTGCTCCAACTCCTCCAACTGCACAGTGCTGGAACAGCTGGGTGACAAGAAGCAGAAGGACTAGCCATTCCCCTTCTCTTTCCCACTATCACCCAAAATTTTCTACACTTTTCTTTTCTTCCAAACCTACAGCCAGAAGTTTTGAAAGTGCATCGGCAGACTGCCATGAACACATGGCTATCCAACTGGCATGTTATCAATTTGCTATTGACAGTCTGCTACTTTTTCTTGGAATGCACAATGCTTTTCCTTTCAATATCTTGTCTCAGTGTTTGTGATCTAGCATAAAATTGCTCTAACCTGGAATGGAATCATGTCCAACAAATTGAGAAGACTGATTTTCATAGGTCATTGTTAGATTAGTTATAATTAAACCAATTGAATGTATCCAATTTCAGAATTCTCATATCTCAGTAAGAACAAAAGCATTTCATTTGTTAAAAAAAATTTCACAATTTGAGAGTGTACATCTGCCACATTTTCTTCTACCTTCAAAATTACATTGATTGTTTCCAGTCTGTAGGTGGTACTTTTCAGAATAGATAGATCAACATTCTCTGTTTCTCCTCATGTCTAGTATAATAATCATGCAGAAATTTAAAAAGCAGGCAACTACTTGGGACATAAAAATACAGTTTTACCTTGATGTTTATTTTCTTGACTTAAAATGAGATCATATAAAAAAGAATGTAACTGCAATAGGATAATAAGTTAGTGATACTTTATAAGCCTTGTCTGTCCTTTCATTTTTTAATGGCATTTATTAAATTATCTATACAGAAGTTGGAAAGACATTACAGCAAAACAAGATGTTGGGATCCTCAGGTTGCAAACTACTCTATCAACCCCCAATACAGTTTAAAGTATATTTTCATATTAGGAATAGCTTTTTGAGTAGGCAACAGCTGAAAGATACTAGAAGGAAATCCATCTGAGTGTTTTAGCAGAGAAGTGCTTAGCATATCGAAAAATGTTCAGTTTTATCACAATAAAAAAGAGATCACAATATTTCAAGGTAAACTAACAATAGGTTTGAATAGAACACTGGGTCTGATTAGTGCACCACTGTAAGTAAGAAAAGAAAGCTGAATGATACCATGGGTCACGATGGAGACTGAGCACAAATATTAAGCAGGCTGCAGATGAGTGAGTCAAAGTAAGATTGCCTTACGATGTCAAAGTAACTGAAACAACATCCAGAAGTTTTCAGACTGGGACCTGAACAGTGCTACTAATGCTACATGTTTTTATATTTTATGTGGTCTATATAATTTTTTCCCAACAGTCAGACTTATTAACACATTGTTTTTATACACTGAATACCCAGGAAATAGCGACAAATGAACTGTCTGTGAATGCTGGGGAATCTGTGTGTTAAACTGTGCTTTGATTAACTAGAGCATAATATACAATAAAGCTAGAAATTATTTAGCTCCCTTGGGCAAATCAGGAGCGTTTGATACAAGATAATCCAATCTGTTCTTGTTTCTGAGCATCAGCTTCTTTGTTTATAAATAGAAGCAATAATAGCATCTAATTAGTGGGTTATTTGAGGCTTACACAAGCAATGACATATATTTAAAATCCATACTTCAGGTTCTAAGATACAACAACATTTATACTGTGACTCTGTTGTATGCAGCTCATATTTTAATAAAATCTGTAGTATCTTGTTTCCATTTAGGTATAATAGTGTGGTTTCCTAACTTTAACTATTATAAGAAAAGAGTAAAGGCTTTCTAAAGGAAGATGGAATAAAAATACCTCCAAAGACCATAAAGGTAGAGAAACAGAAATACATTCGCTATAGAGAGAAGTTACTGATTTAAATATGTTGTTGCATTGCATTATGCTGGTTTTTTTTTCCGGTTTTGTGAGGGAACAGAGGTAGGCTATATGACCTCTGATATCAAAAAGATATCAAGCTTGTAAATCTAGTTTGTAAATGGCCAAGAAAATGTGCCAACTCTTGGACTTCTTTATTTTTTTTATGCATTGCTGGGGTATTTTAAAAACATTTTTTAACATGATGTGATACCTGCACAATTTCTGGGATAGGATATAGTATTATGTATATACGACATCAAATTATCAAATCAAGAGATTAAGCGTTTCCATTTTCTTCTTTTTTTATGTCAATTCAGGATATTCTTTCTGTGATTCGAGGGACAGAAAGAGACCAAGGCACATACAATCAAAGAGAACTCCCTTATGTTAGGGTACTTCCCAACTCTCCACAGTGGCTCCGCCTAGAACAGCGCCACCATGTAGGGAGTTAGGACTCCATCCAGTTCTCCCAATTGAGTTACAAGTTCCCAGGGTCTGTGTTGTACGAAAGCTGGAAGCACGATACAGAGTTGGTATTAAACTAATATTCTAAAAGGTGACGCAAGAATCTTAGCTGGCAGGCAAAACGTCCTCCCGGCTCAGGGAATCCGTCAGTCTTAGAATTGATGAGTCAACGATATGGCCTGGTTGTAAAATCTCCTATAGGTTAGCTATTTCATTCCTCCCCATGCTAATGTTTCTTTCAATACTAACCTGGCTGATCTAGGCATGGATCACTTCAGAAGGACAGAACTTACAGGGCAGGAAATATCTGAAACTTTGGCTTGACCGAAAACAATGCTCATATTTAAATATGTCAATTTAGCCCAGTTTGCTCTACTAAAATATTAAATATGTAACCGTAATTAGCATATATTGAAACAATCCTGTTTGAGTTTTATTTAGTGAAGGACTATGTTCCTGGTGAGACATTTGTGTATTTAATCTATTTAAATATAACCAGACTTATCATTTCCCTGAACCAAATGTCTCTCCTGCAAGACACTCTTACCGCGAACATATAATGAAGGCTTACGCATAAAGAAATGGCATTAACCTTTGGTGGTGAAAAGTCATGTTGGATTTTACAGTCTAAGAGGGAAGAAAAAGTCCTCGTGTGCGTTTCTCCACACATATCTGCATTTAAAGTATTCCCTCTGGAAACTTTCTTTACAAGTGAATATGCAAATGAAGAATGGTTTGAAACAGATAGCTATTAAAATTACATATGAAACTATGTATAAGTATACTTGTGTGCATAAATTCACATGTACATAATATATATACACATATATGGCTAAACGTATATGTTTATCAATACACATACTGAATATATAAGGATTTTTTAAAGTCCATGAAAATGCATTATATGAATTAAC